GAGAGAGAGAGAGAGAGATGTCGAGGTAAAGAGAAAGGGGGAGGCGCGAGAAAGAGATAGACATGGGAGTACTAAAGTGAATCTGCTGCAATGTAATCATAACCTGGCTAGTATTAAGCTCTGACTATGCATGCATTGTACACGCGCTTACCGCACCAGCAATATATCGTACGTATGTGCGTTACCACCCTAATTGATCTGTCGTCATCCCTCTCAATCATCCTCTTACATGTCTAATCCACTTTCATCTGCCCCAACAATTACATCATATATAATGCCTACCTAATCCGTCTGTACCTATTCCTGCAACCGCATGTACATCACTTGTCTAATTTAACTTAATCTGCCCCCTCCCCCCACAGTTGCGAAATACTGTAACCTGCATGTCCGTTGGACTACCACCTTCAGCGCATTCACACCCCGACTTTATCGGTATAATCTGTCTTCCACCTCCCCCGCAGTCACATGCCCTCAATCGACGTGTTTTATACGTGTCTGGCACGCTGCCGAAAGTGTTTGTAAATAAATTTCTTTTCACTCATCTTCGCAGACGAGATTCATCGTATCAGAATCGTATAGAGCGAGAGTGTCACGACGATGCACGGAACTGACGTATACATACCGGTGCATACGCGCAGGTAAGGAACGCGGAGAATGAGCGTACGCCCATGGGGTGAAGACTGCTCATTGAATGCTAAACATGGAAACCTGCCCGCAGACATGGTTGTTATAGATTATCTATTTACGTTAAAGACTGCTTCTAGTGAGTGCGTCGGCGATGGTGGTGGTGGAGGGGGACGAACGGACCGTCTGCGTGTGTGGGTGACGATGATCTAACAGATAAATATCCTAACAGCCCAGAGGTAGCACCCGCGCGCTGTTAACGATGTTTTAATAACTGAATATCCTAGCAGAATAGAGGTTGCACTGGTGTGCTGTTAGCGTTGTTTTAATAACTGAATATCCTAGCAGAATAGAGGTTGCACTGGTGTGCTGTTAGCGTTGTTTTAATAACTGAATATCCTAGCAGAATAGAGGTTGTTTTAATAACTGAATATCCTAGCAGAATAGAGGTTGCACTGGTGTGCTGTTAGCGTTGTTTTAGTTGTCTGTCCTACATGAAGGCTGTTCGGGATGCGACCGAAAACGTGCCTCTAATATCTAATTAGCCATTTTGTCCCTCAATCGAAGCAAATTTACTTGTGCCCTTCTCCCTAATTTGTGTTATCGTTGTCATTGTATTTGGCAATGTTGGCACATTGCCAAATACATTGTTATTCTACGAATTCTTATTCTTCATCTTATCATTATTATTGTGTATTTGGCAATGTTAATTGGCACATTGCCAAATACATTGTTGTTTATCTGTCACTCTATCATCCGCTATGATTTTATACTCACAATTAAGATCGTCGTGACCATCACCGTAAAATCGTATTATTTGGTATTTATCTTTTATTAAATCTTGGTATTTATTTCTCATAATTTCTATATGTTCTGTTATTTATCACCAGCGGCTTCTTGCGAACATTCTCTCACGTCTTACCCAATGTGACCCCAAATCAAAGAAAATTTTTAAGCTGTTTATTTTAACGCTGACTTCGGCAAGAAGTCACCATTGATTAGCATTTGATAACTATCACCTATATAGTCCTATATAGTGAACATGCCTATTTGCATTCAAGCCACGTGCGCATGAGTTCATACACATCAGATTATCAAAATGCAAACTAAGTTGTTGCTACTGTACGTGGTTTACTCGGTCGTTCGGAAAATTGGCACGAAACGTAGAAAGAATCTAGATGGTCACACAGAAATGCAACTATAATAGCTCGCTCGCTCGCTCGAAAGAGAAAGAGAGAGAGAGAGAGAGAGAGAGAGAGAGAGAGAGAGAGAGAGAGAGAGAGAGAGAGAGAGAGAGAGAGAGAGAGAGAGAGAGAGAGAGAGAGAGAGAGAGAGAGAGAGAGAGAGAGAGAGAGAGAGAGAGAGAGATGGACAGACAGCAGAACAGACACACAGGCAGACAGCCGGATGCCGGACTCGCGCGATCACACGTACGATGCGCGGACAGGTGCACGAGTCCGTGCAGCTGCTTGCTCCTCTCTCCCTCCACGTAGCACTCGTACAGTCCCGCGTCCGCCGCCGTCACGTTGTCAACGCCGACGTCCAGCTGGCCATCCCACTCCGGCCGCGCCACGTCGTCGTGTCGCCATCGCAGCAACGCCTCGAAGCAAGTCGAAAACCCGTCTATCACCAACGTCACGTTTAACAAAGACCCGCGAGGGCGAGAGGGTACTCACAGAGAGGCTCTCATTTTTGGAAGTGTAAGAGTACGCACTTTAAAATGGACTGGGCCTTCTTCAGGGTGTTGCCTATTCATATCTACCAAGAAATATGTCCTTTGTTCGCAGAATGGATGGACGAAATGCCGTTCAACCGACGCTACTCACCTGTTTTAATACGTGATACAAAATGCGTGATTATATGTAATACGCGGATTCACTCCATTCCCCATGGGCCCAGGGAGGCGCGGGAGAGGGGTCGTTTTCGTAAAACATTTGGAGAATTAGGCCTTATTAGCGACGACACCTCAAGCGGTATTAGGATATAGGATCGGCGTAGATACCGGGCTGAGCTGCGAGATATCCCTACGTTAAAAATGTAAGCGCAAATATTATCAGAACTATATATACCTAATGTAATATGTCACGTATTCGTAACGTGAGTACATAGTGCATGAATTAATGTAAAATATTTGTAGTGTTCTTAACGCTGCAGATAATGAGTGACACTTTTGCCTATCGGAATGACAAATATACGTACAAGGTCTGTTTTTTTACTGGCTTCAGGGGCGGATCCAGGGCTGAAGCTAGACAGTATTTTTCCAGATTTTAAGGGCACATCCCCCAAAAAGGGCACACCACCCCACCGTGGGCGCCGTCAGGCGCGGAAGCACATGACGGGGGGTCTGGGGGAGGCCTCCCCCAGGAAATTTCTAGCGCATATTTCTGTCACATAACACGTAGCTAGAAAGCATGCAAGATACGCATATGCTGTCACGTACACGTAGCTAGAAGGCAATGCAGATCACACGTGATATGTCACGCTAACACGTAACTAGAGAGCGATGCGCAGACTACACGTATGCTTTCACGTAACGCTGTACTAGAAGCATGCAGCATAGCACGTATCTGTCCGTAACGCGTAGCTAGAAGCATGCAGATAGACACGTATCTGTCACGTAATCAGCGTACTAGAAGAATGCAGATACGCCATATCTGTCACGTAACAGCATACGTAGAAGCGAATGTAGATACGCATATTGTCAGCGTAACACATACTAGAAGCATGCAGATATCACGTATCTGTCATCGGTACAGCAGCGTACTATGAAACAGTGTGCAGCTACACGTATCTGTCACGTAAACATACTAGGAAGCATAGTCAGATAGACACGTATCTGTCCACGTAACGCGTACTAGAAGGCATAGCAGATACACGTATCTGTCACGTAAACGTGTAGCTAAACATGCAGATAACGTATCTGCACGTACGTGTAGCTAGAAGCAATGCAGATACGCGTATCTGTCAGCGTAAGCCACATACTAGAAGGATGGCAGATACAACGTTGGATGTCACGTAACACGTACTAGAAGCTATGCAGATACACGTATGCTGTGCAGCGTAACACAGGTGAGTAGCTAGAAGCATGTATATACAGCGTATCTGTCAGCGTAACACATACTAGGAAGCATGCGAGATAGCACGTATCGTGCCAGCGGTAACACGTACTAGAAGCAGCGAGATACACGGTATCTGTCACGGTACACGTAACTAGAAAGCATGCAGATGACGCATGAATGCTGTCACGTAACACATACTGAGAAGCATGCAGATACGCATATCTGTCACGGTTAAGCACGTATAGAAGGCATGGCATGATACAGCGTATCTACTCACGCTAACGTGTACGGCTAGATAAGCATGCAGAGATACTGCGTATCTGTCATGGGGTTTTGGTGGTGGGTGGGGGGGGTGGCGTAACACTACTAGAAGCATGTTAGATACGCATATCTGTCACGTAACACATAACTAGAAGGCAATGCAGATATCGCATTATCTGTCACCTAACACGTCTAGTAAGCATGCCGATACACCGTATATGTCAGCGTAAGCACGTACTAGAAGCATGCAGATACACGTATCTGTCACGTAAGGACACATACTAGAAGCATGCAGATAGCACGTATGCTCGTCAGCGTACGCGGTAGCTAGAGAGCATGCAGATACAACGTATCTGCACGTACGTGTACTGAAAAGCATGGCAGATACACGTATCTGTCAGCGTAACCGTACTAGAAGCAGCGATACGCGTATTGTCAGCGTACACGTACTAGAAAGCATGGCAGATACACGTATAGGTGTCAGCGTAAACAGCGTATAGAAGCAAGGAGATACACGTATCTGTCACGTAGCACACATACTAGAAGCATGCAGATTACGCGTATCTGTCACGTAACGCGTATCTAGAAGGCATGCGAGATACACGTAATCTGTCACGTAACAACGGTACTAGAAGCATGGCAGATAACGTATTGCTGTCAGCGTAACGCGTACTAGAAGCTATGGCAGATACATGTATCTGTCACGTAACGCGTACTAGAAGCATTGGAGATACGGCGTGCATCTGTGCAGCGTAACACGTACTAGACAGCATGCAGATGACACGTATCTGTCACATATAACACGTACTAGAAGGCTTATGCAGATACGAAGCGTATGCTGTCACGTAACGCGTACTAGAAGCATGCATGATACATGTATCTGTTACGGTAACAGCGTACTAGAAGCATGGCAGATGACGCCGTATCTGTCACGTAACACGTACTAGTAAGCATGCAGATGAGCACGTATCTGTCACGTAAACGCGTACTAGAAGCATGCAGATAACGTATCTGTCCACGTAACAGCGTACTGAGAAGCATGCGAGAGAGGTACGAGTGATCTGTCACGTAACACATCATAGAAGCATGCAGATAGCAATGTACTGGTCACGTAACACGTACTAGAAAAGCATGCAGACTACGCATATCGTCACGTGAACACGTAGACGCGCCTGCAGAATACGCGCATACTCAGTCACGTAAACACATCTAGAAGTCATGCAGATACGCGTATCTGTCACGTACACAGTACTAGAAGCAATGGCAGATACGCATATCTGTCACTAACACGTACTAGAAGCATGGCAGATACATGCATTCTGTCAGCGTAACACGTACTAGAAGGCCATGCAGATGACACGTATGCTGTCAGCGTAACACGTATAGCAAGCGAGTGCGCAGATACCGTATGCTGTCACGTAACATGCATTGGGAGAGGCAATACAGATACCACATATGCTTATCGCATAAAACGTCATACAGAATATAGACCGAGCCAAGCATATACATAGTCTGAAACCTGGCCCGCGGCAAGTGATAAGTGTCAGATGTCGCAGCTAACAATGCAATTTCCGCCATTCAGGCTTCGCGAGGCGATATTAAACTGCCTCGGCCCGTCAGCTTGTTTTCAGGTATGTGACCATTGAAGCACCTTCTGGATTCGGCTTATAGTCACGCGAGTGCTACTGCTGCACGTACAGCTGCCATCGGCTTATACTGAGACAATCAGGCTGCATATGACTGGGGTGACATAGAAAAACTGTTCCCATCGCTTTCACCTGTCGCCTGCACCCATACACAATCATTCTACGAACGACCGCGGAACCAACTTTTACGCAAACAAGGCGTACGAAGGGTTTGGCGCGGATGTTGGTGTATCGAGAATTCCGCAATGCGACGAGGTCAGGCTCGTACATTTTTGGCGCCTGGAATTATTGACCGGGTTTTATACAGCCTGTCGGGGCATCGGATGTCGTGATAAAGAAGTGCATTTATGTGGTTCATAACATTCTATCATTGCCGGCATCTCTCAGCTTAGCTCGAGCAATAAATGGCTGTGAGTGTTCATAGATATGGAGATACAGATATCATATTCCGTATTCTATTCTATGTTGGTTTTTAGGAATGCGTTGCGCTGGTAAACACGAAGTATGCATGATGTATAAGGCGTAAAATAGCGTATAACGTGGAAAGCGCAAAAGGTAGCACGCATCGCGTGTGCGTGCACGCCGCGTTATAATTAGTGAGCGTGCTACGCGCATCGCACACAGACGGCTGCAGCACGCGCGCACGCAGACACAGAGTTGATGTGCCTTTTAAAAGATTACAGCGTCTTGGAATCGTGAACTCCGCGCATGCGAGCGCGATTTAGGGGAGGATAACACAGACGCGGTAGGTGAAAGAGAAAGAGAGAGAGAGAGAGATGTGAGAGAGAGAGAGCGTGTGTGTGTGTGTGTGTGTGTGGTGTGTGCGGCCTGTGTGTGTGTGTGTGTGTGTGTGTGTCTGTGTGTGTGGTGCTGTGTGTGTGTGTGTGTGCTGTGGTGTGTGTGTGTGTTGCGCGTGTTGGTGTGTGATGTGTGTGTTGTGTGTGGGGGGGGGGGGGGGGGCGTCTGTGCGTACCAACGCGTGCAGTGGCCATAGGGCGGTGGGCTCGTTCGCGCTGACTTACACGGCTTTGTCATGGTCGAAGGGGCCACTTGGCACGTCTCTCTCCCGCTCTCTGCTGCTAATCTCTGCTCTTCTCTCTCTCTGCTCTCTCTCTTTTGTCTCTATCTCTCTGTCTTATCGGCTGCTCTCGTTCTCTCTCTCTCTTCTGCTTCTGGCTCATCATCTCGTCTCGTCTCCCTTTCTCTCTCTCCTCGTCTGCCTCTCTCCTCCTTCTCTCGTCTCCTCTTTGTCTCGTCTTCTCTCTCTCTCTCTTTCTTTCTCGTCTCTTCTCTCTCCTCTCATCTCTCTCTCTCTCTCTCTTCTCGCTCCTCCTTCCCCCCTGCGCTTCCTTCTCGCCTCTCTCTCCCGCCATCGTCTCTCTCTCTTTCTCTTCTCTCTGCACTCTCCTGTCCTCGCCCCCTCGCGGATCAGCCACCTCTCGGTCAATTTCCATCTGGCACGTGTCAGGGCGGCCGCGCAGAGCTGTGGTCACAAGACCTCAAGTACATTGGGCGTGTTGACTACTGAAAGCAGTCCCTGCGTCACACACTAATCGTATTTATTTTGTGGAACGCGGTTAGGTTTAAAGGCGGTGCTTTCTTTTTAGCCGGCCCGCAGCAATTTAATATGGGCTGTAAAATTACGCTTGTAACGAAGGTCACC